AGTAAGCGACCAACTATGGCCACGATCCAACGTGTCCTTGTATTGAATCAAAGACGGCGCCGGCTGCGGAGCCGTTTAGTCCACGTAAATTTTTTTATTCGGCAAAACTTAAGCCCTTTTGACATTTTGCCTGACGTGGCTATATTAAAAAATTTTTTGCCTTCCAAGACAACTCATTATGGAGCTGCTGGACCTTCTCAGACCTGTGCTTGCCAGGCTAACGCGGCGGAATTTAGCTACAGGGAGCTTTATCGAGGTCGTGGGAGAGTGCTACGGCCTAAGCAAGACCTCGGTGTGGAGGTGCGTCCACACTGTCACCAACGCCCTTCTGCGCCATGCCGGGGATTACGTCCGGCTGCCAGCAACACGTCAGAAGGTCCAGGAGGTGCACCAGGGCTGTCATGCCATTGCTGGCATCCCCAGAGTCTTGGGCCTGGTGGATGGCACACTCATCCCTATCGCCAATCCATCAGTGATTGATCAGGCGTACATATCGCGAAAGAGATACGCGGCCATAAACGTGCCGGTTATAGTGGACCATAGGGGTGTGATCTCCGACCTGGTGGCAAGGTGGCCAGGCAGCACCCACGACAGTTTTGTCTGGGCCAATTCTGCTGTGGGTGAACAAGCAGAGAAAGAGGGGTTTGGTCAGAGCCTGTTCCTCGGGGATAGTGGATACCTTATGAGAACATACTTATTCACACCGCTGACCAACCCACAGACTCGGGCTGAAAGAGCCTACAATGTTGCACACGTTCGCACGCGCAACGTTGTCTAGTGTGCAATTGGCATCTGGAAGCTGCGGTTTCTGTGCCTGCACAAGACGGTTGGAGGACTGCGCATGAAGCCTCACAGCTCTTGCGCAGTTACGGTGGCAACGGACATACTCCATAACATGGCTGTGCGTGGAGGCGCACCTATTCCGGAGGGGGGGGGGAGGTGGAAGTGGATGAGGAGGAAGATGGAGAGGGAGAAGTTATAGGGGAAATGAAGCAGTCAGTCAAGTTTACATAATTTACAAGATGGATTACCACTATAATCAAAAATTATATAAGAAACATGACAAATGTTAACATATAAAAGAAAAAAAGAAACACCGTTATATCTTTCGCGGCAAGGGCGCCGCCATTGTGCAGTATTATAACTGGTGACGTCACGGGGTTGGTTGGCTTTAAAGGCTCTGTGCTGAGTTCAGTAAAATGCAGTGAAAGATGCTTGTAAGCTGGTCGATCCAGCGAACAACTAACGTCATTGTTAGCTAACAGCTGTAAGCATGAACTAGCTAATGATATCTTAGTGTTTAGCTAGTGAACTTTATTAGTACCAGACAAAAAAGACGACGTCTAACGTTAACAAACTGCACATGGAAACATATTGTTCGTGATGTCTGCAATCATATTCCTGTCTCTTGTCAACACCATGGTTGCAATACATGGTCAAGATCAGCGTCTTGACAGCACATGGATCGTGCTATCGTGGCGTAATAATCTGTTTAGTTGTAAAATGTATTACCCGAATGAAATGAAATCGAATGTATCGTCCTGTGGAATCATTCATTCACAGACAGCATACGAAGATGTTCAAATAATAAAGATCTTCATCCCTGGCAAACAATATGATAGATTTGCCGATTTGCTTTCACTAGACTGTAACAGGTCTACCGCCACTTCATCAAACGCTCTTGATGTTCTTAAATCTTCCTGTTACAACTCCGAGTCGAGTGTGAATTGAAAGCGCTTAAGTGATTCAGTGCGTGCAGAAAACTGAACAGATCATTCAAACTGATTCGCGAACCGATTTAGACAGATCTGCCAACTTGTTTGATGAAGTCTTTGAACAGAATCGACAAAAAAAGAGTGATTCATTTGTAAATTGAGCATCGCTCGTGCCCATAAAAAAAGATACAGCGCGCTTGGAATAAACTGCGCATGTTTGTATTAAAATAAAGTGCGCCGTTTGGATCCCTGTATATAACGAGATTTGGGCCATTTGGGCTGTATCTTTTTTTTATGGGCACGACTCACGAGCGATGCTCAATTTACAAATCACTTTTTTTTTTTTTTTTTTTTGATTCTGTTCAAAGACTTCATCAAACAAGTTGGCAGATCTGTCTAAATCGGTTCGCGAATCAGTTTGAATGATCTGTTCAGTTTTCTGCACGCACTGAATCACTTAAGCGCTTTCAATTCACACTCGACTCGGAGTTGTAACAGGAAGATTTAAGAACATCATCAAGAGCGTTTGATGAAGTGGCGGTAGACCTGTTACAGTCTAGTGAAAGCAAATCGGCAAATCTATCATATTGTTTGCCAGGGATGAAGATCTTTATTAGTTTAACATCTTCGTATGCTGTCTGTGAATGAATGATTCCACAGGACGATACATTCGATTTCATTTCATTCAGGTAATACATTTTACAACCAAACGTCACCAGTTATAATACTGCACAATGGCGGCGCCCTTGCAGCGAAAGATATAACGGTGTTTCTTTTTTTCTTTTATATGTTAACATTTGTCATGTTTCCTATATAATTTTTGATTATAGTGGTAATCCATCTTGTAAATTATGTAAACTTGACTGACTGCTTCATTTCCCCTTTAAGGTCCTCTATCCTCCACAGAGGGCTGCCCTGCACGCTGCCGGGGTTGAAACAAGGCAGCTTTTGATTGCAAATGTTTTTGGTTGATTTATATTTTCTTTTTGGATTAACTTGCTGAGCTATCATTAGCCATCATCCATGATTGAACTGACTTTTTTTTTAATTCGTATTATGATGGAATTTTTAGTTTTCTGAAAAATAAACGGGAGTTTCAAACCTTGCATCCATTAAATGTTCTTTGTGGGATTCTAATCCTTTAAACCTTTACCCTATCATGCCATTGTGTTCATTCCATAAGTGCTCTATGCAACGCCAATCATTGACATGCTTCTCTTAAGGTTGGCGAAGGAGCCTGCACGTTAGAATTTCTGAGTCAAAAGTTGACATATGCCCAAATTACCACGTCACATTGCTGATTCATCTTCATTCATTTATTGTGCATTGAATGCAGGTCACATGGTTGTCAGAGGATTCCCTTTCCGCTGCTTTGCCTCATGCATAGCCTTACGTGTCGTCAAACACACAGATAATGTACATTACAAACTAATATCTTTACGCAGCCTCTTCAAACGAGCCTTTATATCTGAATGTGCACTTAGATTGATACACCTTATTTATCCACAAGGAAATTAAGCAATCTCATTGATAGAGCAAGATTTTATGCGTAGGTTTCCAATGGCAATAGAGAATCTGTTGTTGACTCATTAAGGATGACAGAATGACATACAATCTTGTTGATGATCAAGTATTTTTAATGAAAATGCGCATACAAACACACACAGACACGGTCACTGGTGTGACTGTTGCTCAGCATCTATGAAACATACCAAAATCAGATTAGGAACTGTGAGGAAAGGAACATCAAAATCTATAAACCAAGAACAACTGGCTCACCTTCAGTTGGCAGCAAGATTGGTACCGAGATTGAGGGCCTGTTGAATTGCGCCTCTGCCAGTTCCAGCTTGGCTCTCTTCAGCTCCAGAGACTGGCCAGCGAGCTCATTTGCTTCGGTCAACTGGCGCTGAATGTCCTGCAACACGACCAACTTCTCCTTTTCAATGTTCACCAACTCTTCGCTACACGACATGGTGAGATTGTGGAGCGACGTTGTGATGTCGTGTAGCGAAGTGCTGGCGAAGACGTGTGTACGGGAGGTGGTGGCGTAGTGCACCCTTCCGGCTCGGTGCTGCCAGGTGAGGAGAGTGCTGCAGGTGGCTCGGTGTCTGGGAAGCATGGCACATTGGGGGGTGGCGATGACCTGGAACATGAGGCCTGTTCAGCTTCACCTCTTCTAACGTCTCCCATGATCGCCAGTGCCTTCTCCTCATGTGCTGTTAAGGGTTGCACCGAACTGGTCCCCGCACCTGTCCTCGCAGAACCTCTATGGACAGCAGAACCTCTCACCTTAACCTGGCTTGAAAAATCATGCCTTTTTTCCTGACGCCCTGCCAGAACTTTGGTGTGCCTGATCTGGAGGCAGCCATCTTCCTTGCTATGTCGCTCCATAGCTCTTTTTTGTTGCTGTTGCACAAGTTATTCCGAAAGCTGGAAAACAGTGTCACCTTGTGCAAGCTCACCTCGTCCAGCAAAACTTCAAGTTCCTCTGACGAGAAGCTTGGTGCCCTTTTTTTTTACGTTGCTTCCCCACCATATTCTGTATCTAACTCTCTCTCTCTCTGTTCATTGTAGATAGGTTGCTTTTTATTGAAAACATTAACCAATGGCAATCAATACCGCATTAAACAGAAGTAACTGCAGCTGCTTGCTAATCAATTCTGATTGTAAAGTACCTTACCATTAATATAAAAGTGTATTACATAATTTTTAGAAGTCTTTAAACCCATGTCAAGAAGCGGCACAACGGGATAAGTAGGGTGGATGATTAGCGAGGGATACCCGGTTCGTCTACCCGTCACAACATATCGTGTGAATATATTACTGACAATTTGATAATTTAATTAAGTCTATATTTTACTGATAACTAAAACTGTTCAAATAAATGTTACTGGAATAATTTGAGGAATGTTTCATTTGCATAGAATGTGTTGTCTTTCTTAACGCCGTAATGCACCTTCGCGCAAAGTGGAAAATCTATTACTGAGCAATCGATGCCAACTAATTAAGCACCTTCACTTGGGACAGCGCCTTTGTAACGTCGAACGTAAGAGGCAGCGTGTTAAGAAGCTTCCTAAGGGACACTTTGGGGAACACACTTAGGAACATAAACAACTTTGGTAAGATATATCTTTCGAGTCTTTTTAGACTCGCTCACTAAGATAACGCTCACTAAGAGTGAGCGTTATCGAGGAACCGGGCCCAGATGTGACATGTTGACTTCTGTTGTTTACATTTGACTTCATGTTGTTTACCCTTTTTTTTTTTTTACTATGTCCATTTTAGTCCTGGTGGAGGTGAAAGAGGAAAGTCAAGAACTGACTGAAGTGGAGTGGAAACATCAGCATCAGGAACCTCATTTCGTAAGTGGAGAAAATAAAGGTAACCTTAACGATCACATCAGAATTCACTCTGGAGAGAAGCCGTTCACATGCCACGAGTGTTCAAAGAGTTTCACATGTAAGAAACAGCTGAGTGATCACATGAGGGTTCACACCATAGCGAAGCTGTTCGTGTGCCGTTACTGTGATAAGAGTTTCAGTCACAACGGACACCTTAAGGATCACATTAGATGTCACACCGGAGAACGACCTTACCGATGTGACCAGTGTGGCAAGAGCTTCACTCAAAGAGGACACCTTACCGATCACGTCAGAATCCACACCGCAGAGAAGCCGTTCACATGCCTGCAGTGTGGGAAGAGTTTCATACAAAAAGGCCATTTGAAGAGTCACCTGAGAGTTCACACCGGAGAGAAGCCGTTCACCTGTCAGCAGTGTGGGAAGAGCTTCACAAACCAAGGAAACCTCATGAGTCACACCAAACTACACTCTGGAGAGAAGCTACACCACTGCTCTCAGTGCGGCAAGAGTTTCTCCGGGGCAGCGCTGCTCAAGAAACACCTGCTGTATCACTTCGGAGAAAGGCCCTTCAGCTGTGAGCAGTGCAGCCAGACTTTTTTCTTCGCATCGCAGCTAAAGAGACACCTGAAAGTTCACGGGAATGAGCGGCCCTACACCTGTTCTTTCTGTGACAAGAGCTTTGTGTGGTTCCACAATTTAAAAGACCACTACAAAACTCACACCGGTATGAAAGATCATGTGTGCTTTGAGTGTGGGAAGGCCTTTAGCAGAGCCAACTACTTGGAGCAACACCAAAACACTCATACTGGATTATCACCGTACAAGTGTTCGTACTGCGATAAGAGTTTTAAGGTTTCGGGATCCCTGAAAGCACATGAACGAATCCATACTGGAGAGAATCTGTTTCACTGCCTGACGTGTGGGAAGAGCTTCACTCATTCAGGACACATGAAAGACCACGAGAGGGTTCATACCGGAGAGAAACCCTACAAATGCCCGCAGTGTGGCAAGTGTTTCGCCACATCAAGTAATCTACAGATGCATAAAAAACAGCATTGTCCAAAGTTGTTACAGTGAGAAAAGTTCATCCTCAGGTCCAAACACTTCCATGTTTCGATGAAATTGTTTTTTTTAGGGCCCTGTGATTTCTGTGATGCGAAATACATGGAGAGAGTCTAGGAATCTAGTTATAAAAATGAAATTTATCATATAACATGGAATGTCTAAGAATATGGCAAATTTTGGTTGAATAAATCAGAAGTATTGCTGTACACTTCGCCAGTGTCTGTGAATATCGTATCACAAAAAGACTGCTATTGAAATCTGAAATCTGCATGTTCCGCGTGTCTGTGTGAAGGAGCGCATTCACAGTTTCTTGAAAAATATTTTTTAACATGTTAAATGGTTAAAGGAACACTCCGACTTTTTGGGACTTGGGCGGAGTGATAACCGCAGCACCTGAGACGCGCTCTCTGCTCCTCACCACGGCTCGTCTCAGGTGCTGCGGTTATCACTCCGCCCAAGTAGCAGTGCTTCGCCTTCAGAGAATATAGTTCCCAGTATTTATACGGTTAAAATATGTCTGTGTCTCATGTGACTTTGTTTTTTGTACACTCTGTGACTATACAAATCACAACATGTAAATAGGAAAATGTTTGCGTTATTTTGTCACTTATTTGGATTAGTATGCTAGCTGCAACCATTTACATCCAGTCTTTGTGCTAAGCTAGGCTAGCGGTGGGTGCGTCAAACAGACTTATAGCACGCACGGAGATTAAAAAGGTATGTATGGACTTATCTAACTCTGGGGGATAAGGTGAATAGGCTAAAGTCCCAAAAAGTCGGAGTGTTCCTTTAAAGCTGCAGCATAATGAATCCATTTTCCAAACTGTGTTTTTGTCTTATCCTGAATCACTACGGTACCCCTATAGTAAGTGTTTATATTGGGACTATTTTAGACTGGTCCAGTACCCGCGTGGTCATAGACTTAGGCCCCGTCCACACTACTGCGTTTTCGTTTAAAAACGGAGACCTTTTGCTATGTTTGCACCTCCCGTCCACACTAAAACGGCAAAAACGGAGACCCAAAACAGAGAAGTTTAAACGCTGCCGATCCGTTTTTCGTTTTGAATCTCCGGAGGGCGTTTTAGTGTAGACGGGTCAAACCGGAGGACTTTAGAAACGATGACGTAGTAGAGGCTCACGCTCGGCTCTATGATTGGGTGTCATCAGTCATGGCGTATATCTTTGCTAGCAGCTGTTGTACAAGTAAATTCTGCATTTTACAACGCTATAACTGCCTACATGCGCCGGAGTCAAGCTATTATTCGAGCGATCTGTGACAATTCCCGTGTGCAGCGGCGGGGTTGACCGTACATGGAGCGTCGGTTTGGGGTTAACCCAGAGCATGGTGGGATAAATTGATCAATGAAGTTGTGTTTACACCGGCACGCGCATGCCCAGTGTTGGTGAATGGTCACGTGATCCGCATTTTCATTCGTTTTAATGTGGACGGAGATCAATTCTAATACGCAGCTGAAACGCTGGTGTGGACAGTGATCGTATTCGTTTTAATTATCCGTTTCTAATCTAAAACGCAGTAGTGTGGATGGGGCCTTAAACAGAGAGAAGTCGATCCGGCTACAATGTTTTTCCACAAAACGCATGCAGTTCTGTTTATTAACCACTAGAGCGCCAAAAGTTACGGACTGCAGCTTTAAAGTCTTATGAATTTAATTTGATTAGACATGTTTTTGATTATTAAAATGTATTAACCATTAATCATGAATTGATTTTAAAATTATAAGAGTTTTACAACTTCAGTTAGTAAGAAAGATGAAATCATTGCGCTCTACTGAATCAGGTTGCGTCGATCCATGTAAATTGCAGTAATTTCAAGAAAAAATGGAAAGATCAGCACTCCACTTTTTTTTCTTGACAATAACTTCAGTTCAACTATTGAAATGGAATCCAGAACAATTAAAATAGAGAAACATTTTTAATTTGTGAACAAATTCCAGCTGATTTTATAGGGTCCTATTAATGTAGAAATGTTAGTAAATTATTCAGGTTTTATAAATTTAATTAATTAGAAATGTTTCTTAATTATTAATTTGATTGAACCATTAAAGCAGAATCCAGATAAACAAAAAGCAGAAAATCAATTCTGGAAAACATAAAACTGAATTCTGGAAAAAGCTAAATGGTTTTCATAGGGCCCTGAAAAAAGTTTTTGTGAACCTTTTAATAAATTAAGTTTTATGACTTCAATTAACATGATTACTAAAATTTAACAACCATTAAAACGGAATCCAGACAAATTACAGCGAAAAAAAAAATAGGTTTGATTCAATATTGTCTATTGTACTTTTTTTATTTTATTAAATTGGTATAAAGTTTTATGTATTCAATTGATTAGACATGCTTTTTGATTATTAATTTAACCATTAAAGCGGAATCCATATATTAACTAATTTTGGAAAAAAATATTATTTTGAAGAGAACTAAAATGATTTCATAGGACCCTAAAAATTTGTTTTTTTGTTAACCTTTTAATAGATTGAATTATGGGATCATTTTCATTTTTGGGTAACTACACTCAACCTCAAGCCATCCTAGGTGTAAATGATTCTCCTATATTATATATATATAAATATTATCCTGGCTCTTCCAAGCTTTATAATGGGAGTGAATAGTAACTGATATTTTGAAGCCCAAAAAAGCGCATCCATCCATCCCTAAAAGTAATCCTGAAATTGTGAAAAAAAATAATTGAATTTGCGGAAAATTTACTGATTTTACAGGGCTCTAGTTTTTTGTTTGTCTTTCAGTAATTTTTTTTTTTTTTTATGATTTCTGATGAAGTGTTCTATACTCTTATCCGGGTCCATTGTTCTCAATTTCATGTTTTTCTGATAAAAATAGGGAACATGTTTCACTGTGACAAGTTTTGCACACCACTGCTACTATTTGAAGCGTTCTCCTCATAACCACTGCTGTGTGTGAAACAGGCTTCAATGATGAAACAAGTTCATGGACTTCAGGACTCGGCCCGTTTCATCCTTGTGTTTGTCTTTTCGTTTATGAACCTTGGTTTTTTTTTGTTTTGTTTTTTTTACTGAATTCTGATTTAGTCTTTGACTGCCTCTTTAATAAACTGATGCATATGATTTCCTATGAATGTCCTCTGGGGTTGCTGTGTGAATCCGGAGTGTCCGTCCTGCTGCAGCGGATTTGAGTTCAGCTAGTTAGTCAAGCTAGTAAATCTGTATGGCTATAACATAAAGGTGAGAAAAAACTATTACAAATACATTTTGAAAAATACTTTATTTAAAAAAAAAACCCTGCTATAAATGAGTTTATAATTGGCCAGTTAATAATATAATGTTCAAAATTTGTGTAAAATACTTAATGAATATTTAAGTTATTTAAATTGATTTGTCATACTTTTAAATGTAATATTTCTGTGGTACTGGAACAGTAATGCAGCAGCAAAATCTAAACATTTTGAAGAAGTAATTAATAGAAATAAAAATCAACACAAAGTGCAAAAATTTGAAGAATCACCATGATGAAGACGTAGTCATTTATTTTAATAATAAACAAAGTTAAAGGTTGGAAGATAAGGGTGTAGATATATTCTCTCATTACATTGATCAATCAGAATCCTGTTGGCAAGGTATTTGAAAAACGAATTGATGGATCTTTAATTTTTTTTAAACAAGAACTGCACTTACATTACTGAACGGATAATATTACTCTACTATTTAACCACAACCGTTGTGTCATGTTTTCCCTCATGCTAGACAACAAAGGCCCCTATATATATTTAGTCTTATTATGCCACAGTCTGAAATGACAGTATATGGTGTTTTGACTTTATACAATTTACTTTAAGCAAATGTAGATGTACAGTATTTGTAGGTTCATGTGGGAGTGAAGGGAAATAAGAAGTCAGTTACAATGCAGGCTAAAGAAAAGTTGGACTAGATATTCAAATATCACATTGCAGATCTGAAATGATAAATAAAACGACATTAAGGGCATTTCTTCTTGAAGAAAATATCTCAAGACTAAGTTTGGGGCATACAGGAAACTTGCTCACTGCATTAAGACTGTAAGAAGCTCATCTGACAACTTACAGAAACTTATTACAGAAAATAAAGGTGCCACAGTATCTTCAGTTACTAGTATATAATTTATATATAATTTAAATGGGGGATGACATTATGCATGTGATCAACTTTTTGATAAAGGCAATTAAAATAAGAAATCAAGCATTCAAAACATTAAAGAAAAGTCTTAAAATGGAAAATGTACTAAAATACCAGAGATTAAAAGCAAGTTGTAGGAGAACAATTAAACCAGCGAAAAGAGAATACTGGAGGAAATATTGCACAACTATTGGATAAGAGACTAGTTAAGTGAAGTATGGAATATGTTAAAGAAAATGGGTGGTAAGGGAAAATATACACACATTCCAGTGATGGTACAAAATGGTTTGAATATATAAAAAACATGGATAAAGGTAATTTAATTGGTAAGACATTTTCTGAAGTATACACTTTGAATATGGATGGGGAATATTATAATAAAAGACAAGACATTTTAGAATACACCAAAGAAATCAATGGAAAACACAGTAGATGTGGAGTTTGACATAAATGAACTAAGGCAATTCATGAATGTAAAAATACAGCACCGGGAGAAGACCAAATTTGTTATATCATGTTCAAACATATTTCAATAGAAACACGTGAAAACATACTTAAAACTATTTAATAGAATATGGAAAGAAGGAAAGATACCAATAAACTGGAAAAGTGCACTTGTAATTCCAATAATAAAGCCTGGGAAAGATCCAACAAACACTAAACGTTAAAGACCAATAGCTCTAACATCCAATTTAGGAAAACTGATGGAAAAAATGATATAGTCTATAGACTATCATTTTATCTTGAACATAATAACATGATTAGTCAATATCAGTGTGGTTTTAGAAAGGGAAGATCAACAATCGACGCATTAACAACATTTAGTAATGATATAGAAAAGGCATTTGTCCTAATAGAGAATATGATAACAGTACACTTCAACATTGAAAAAGCTTTTGATACAGTGTGGAAAGAATAATTATTAATCAAGTTACAAAAAATGGGGATACAAGGAAGGATGTTTAACTGGATACAGCAGTTTTTTACTAATGGCGCTTTTCCACTGCATAGTACGGTTCAGTTCGGTACGGCACGCTTTGGCGCTTTTCCACTGCATA